TGGAGTCTAGACGACCTCCTTGACGAGGTTCAAAAAGCCGAAGGTGATTTTGAAGGTGTGGATACTGAGATCCGGGATGCGGTGGAAAGAGGAATCCAAAAGATGAACAAGTTTGCGAGGAAGATGGACACCAATCTTCTTTACTACGTGGCTTCCGTCCTAGACCCGCGTATTAAATCGTCTTTGATTGGATCGCAGATGAGCGAGCAAGATGCGGGACTGATCATCTCTCAAGTGCGGGAGTTCCTAAAGAGGGAGTATCCGCAGGAGTTGTCCATGTCGTGTGTAGTGGATCGCCCGCCGGGAATGTCCGAGACTATGTGGAGGACGCTGCGAAAAGTACAGCCATCACAGCGGACGCTTCTTTCAGACATTGATAGATATCTAGACGCGCCACCGGTGAGTTGGTCCCACCATATGATTGACGATGCAGACGAGGAATGGGTTCTCAAATGGTGGAAGGCAAATGTATTTAGCTTTCCACTCATGGCAAAGGCAGCCCGAGATTACCTGCCAATTCCATCAGCGGAGGTAGGGATTGAACGCGAGTTCAGCAATGCCAGGGATGTATTGGGGCTCAGGAGACACTGTCTAAATGCGGAGACTATGCGGTGGCTTATGCTACTGAAGGGACAGTATCAAAAATAGCGTTCCAAAAAAGTGATTGTGATAATATTAAGATTTATGGGAATGTAATATCTTAGAGATGGTGAACGCATTTGTTATAGAGTCTTGGGCACATGAAAATGGGTTCCTGTATTGAGACGTAACAACATGAACGGTAATGTATGCTCTCTCAGTATATGAATAAATATGATCATTCATGAATATTCATGAATAATGCAATATGAATAAGTCTCTTATTCATATTCATATTATGCAATTCATATTATTCATATTCGCAAATATTCATGAATATTCATGAATGATCATATTCCTTTCGGAGCCCTATCAATCAGTATCATGATGCCAACCAGGGGATTTGCATGCTAGATAGCTCGCCTACGGGATAGCACGGCTCTCTCCATTCCGGACTCAGTATTAGGAAAGTGCGAACTCACATTCTGTATGCCTGACCGAACCGAACTACGTCGCGTTCACCAAATTTTCCATCTTCGCTATCTTCACCATCATCACCGTCTTCATCGCCATCCGCCGAGTCCCATTGAGTCAGGTCAGGTGGTGTGCACGTCACAGTTCAATGATCATTCTTACTCAAAGCCGAACTGAAAGACCTCTCCGCGCTTCGGGTCATCATTATCGCAAGCTAGCTAAAATTCTACCACTACAGTACATGTGCGCGATTAGGGAAATCGAATTTTCAGAAAGAACCATTGGCTAGGATTATCAATATCAATATCTGGAGAGTTATTGCAAATCGTTGCTGAGAATACGGAGTCACCCAATGCCAAAAAAGATGCCTTTCAAGTATCCACAGAAAAGTGGGAAATTTCCGCTCTCTGAGCTAATCCCTTGTCACTTTTCAGATGGGAATCTTCGGCTTCCGGTTGGAAGACAGAGGTAGATCGCCAAGCGCGCTTACACAAGTGGCGAATGATTAAATAATGTAGAACAAAAATCCCGATAAGAGCAATACTGCCCCCAAGGGCACTGCTGAGTATCAATACCATTCCCTGTTTTGAAAGCCATGCTGATATGTTACTGCCATAGATTGCCGTGTCTTGCCATTCATGGTTTGAGGGTTTTGTGGCTGATGTTGGTCGTGTCATCGGCGGACTATTTTGAGGGGTGGCCGTTACTGCCAACGTCCTTGGCATAGTTTGGCTTTTATGAGTAGGTACCTCATATATAGAATGACCCTTCGTCCCACTAGTACAACCGGCAGTATCAGACTGCTCGGTACCAGAAAGTCTATCGCTTGTGGTCTCCTTTTGTGAAACCTTCCTCTTCCCAGTTTCCCCGCTCGTACCATTTTCGGCATACTCCAGGCTCGTCGAATGATCTGTAGGCGCTGAGTAAGATTCCGATGAATAGTCAGCGTGCAATGCATCCGAACTCTCCAAGATTTGCTGATGGGTACGATCGAACGAAAGCGGCGAAAGGGTGATTTTGCTAATGACATCCTGAAGCAGGGGTGTAGCGTCGCTCTTTAAATCTCCTTTCGTCGAGAGGCTTTCGCTACTAAATCCAGTGTCGATGTACTGTTCGTTTGCGACGATATTTGATAGACCTGCCGCAGTAGCTCCTTCAGTGTGCTCGAGTTCCATCGCAGAGTCAACAGCAGATATGCTGAGTGGAGAGCTGGAGTATGATAGCGAATCACCAGAACATAATGGTCGGTGCAATATCAGTGGGGAGAATTGCGAGACAGATGTTACGTAAAGTCGTGCGTTCTTCTCAGGTATGACCTGGCTTGTCCAAGGACCAGTGGCTTGAGTCAATGGAGGCATCCATGAAGCCAGAGTCAGCCGCGAATCCTTAACAATCAGCGATGGTGTCCAGAGAAGCAAAGTCTAACCTGGGGAGGCATGGAAAACATAATAACGACGGGTATAGAGACATGTTTCATACTTACGGTTGCTGAGGGACAGTATTCTCTTTCCATTGCAAGTAGCTTCACAGCCTGACTGTGCATCAAGGATGGGAAGTCCAGAGGGTATAGTATCTCTCCGCCTGACATAAATTGAACTGATATTAGGTCTGGGGTGAACTTCTGATACAATTAACATCAAGGGTTATGGTAGGAAAAGGACACATGGAATACTAATATTGTTGTGTCTCATCTGGCGATAGAAAATGCCAACAATGGCACGTCAATTTCGAGCCGCATATTTTGACCCCTTGCCCGCACTTTCAGTTGTAACAGGTGAGGATCGTTGGAAATCCCTGGGGATGTGGTGTTCGTCGTTGAAGACGCTAGGTTCGACGATTTGCCCATAGCAGATCTCCAACATAAATAAATGCTTTAACCGGCCATGGCGGGCCACTACTTTGATCGCAGCAAATTAGTCTAAAAATGGTGCCCGCCCTAAGCCGTGTCAAGCGAGAGCAACTCCGCAAGCGCCGCAATAATCTGTTACGCCGCCATAACGAATTTTGGCTTCTGTATGGGATGAAAAGCTGGCTTATTATGGAACTGCCTGATGGTCAAATCTTCACGTATCACTCTCATCCCGATGTCCTTCCGCCGTCCAAGGAAGATATGGTAAGACTATATTCACATGAGGTTCAATGATTGACCGCTAATTAGCGAAAGAACTCGCGCTCCAAGCCCACTGTCGTTCGAACACCTCGCGATTATAATTCCACGGCCATTGCTCAGTCAGTCGGAAGAGACCTCCCTGTCCCCTACGCTCCAATACGTGAAAACAAAAAATGGGACGCTCTGGCGCAGCACTTGAAGAATTATCGTCGCATGGTCTCGTAGTAGTACGCACCCTTTTCATTGCTGATTGGTACACGTTGGGGCACAGGGGGTTCCTGGCCCATTCTGAGCATTAGCAGAACAGACGTAGTCGCCAGAACCAAGGAACTCGGTTCAATATAATGACATTTCACTATCTTCAGCCATTTTCGCAGAACTTTTATGGCTTCTGCTATCATACGGTACATATATTTTGTGGGTGTAGTATTAAAGGACAGGGACAGATTGGGAACCCTTCGTCACTCTAGTAAACCGAGGGACTCTCAAAACGCCTTTGCGTGACATGTGACACATAAAGACCAAAGCTATTGACGGTGCGTAGTCTGTACTTACATCCACCAATTAATATCGACTTCACAATGCGTCGCCTCAATTAAACAGGTATCCTTCTACCAGGTAGCTATGTCGAAACGCGATCGTTACTGTACACTAGCACGGGCATAACTAGTCGAGTACTTGAGAGTCTAGTCTAGATACTACAGCTGCAGAATAAAAAAGGGGGTTGGAGCTTTGTAAAGTCGTCGAGAGCCTGGCAATCATATGGGGATGCACGAGTAGTGTTGCAACCCTCAGGGGAAAATGACGATCGCAGCCCCGGAAAAGTCATTTTCCCGTATGCGCCCCCACTACCTACGCGTCACGTGCCTTCGGCGATGTCCGTGGAGTCGACCGTGTTTTGCGCTTGGATCAAGAGAAACTGGAAACGTCATAAGTGAGCCAAACTTTTGGAGAACGGGTTGCAATACTTACCGACAGGTCCATTAGACACGTGGTGGTTGCGTTTCACGTTGTGAGCTGGTAGACGGACAGGCGTCTGCGTCGGAAAGAATTATCAGGGTAAATCCTTGCGATACAATACTACAAGAACAGCATTACTTACCATTGGTTCTGTAGTGAACATGAGCTCCCTTAGAGGCCTAGAAGCCTGGTCAAGACTTAGCATTTCGCGAGCTGGCACTGCAAAGGAAGGGTCATACCACTGGAATCGCGACCAGCACGACGCTCAGAATAAATACCACCAGCGCAATCATATTATTTTATTACCAAGGTTGAACTGTCGTATAGCAGAAAATGTGGGAAAGCCTACTGCTATATAAGCGGTGCGATAGGCTAATCTAAGGAAACAAGCAAAATGGTGTTTACGGTATGAAAGAGCGACGGCTGTGAAATTTCAACCTATAATGGAATAATCCGCAACAACCTGATGCAAATCAAAAAATGAGGAATGTCTTATATCGCTGAAACAGTCGTCTCAATTCTACGAAGTCCATCCTCGTGGTTCCTCGTGGTCATACAACGATAAGACACATCTATAGATTGTTTCGCACCACGTGATACCGGTTTTCCGTGCTCTCACGTGCTCCGTCGTGCCTTGCACCGGTGCCCTGCGGTACATACGGTTCCCTGCTCTGGTGTTTCTCCGCCTGCTCGCCGCCTGTAGGGTTAACCCATGTAACTATGCTGCCCAACATCTCATGCGTGTGTTTGCGCGTCTGGCCCGTCGCCTTCCCTCCTCTTTCTCCAGAGTCTGTGCACCGACGTGCCGCCGCGTCCCCCTCGCTGTGGTGTGGGAGATGTCCACCATGCCTCCCTTCTACCATCACTCTGGCCTTCGATGGCGTCCGTGTCGGAGGATCGCGTGTTGTGCTCTCAATGCGCCCGTCCTTGGCAATCCAGTCGATATAGAACCTGCTCTCGCTGCCGGGTCCTGGCACGTAACCGCCTTGCCAGATCCAGATTGCTTCCTACCACGGTGCCGCCGTCCCTGCCTGCTGCCCCCGCCCGTTCTTCATCTCTGCCGTTCGCGGGCCTGTCTGGACAGCGTGTGCTCTGTTCACGCTGTGCACGACCTTGGCAGTCGCCTCGGTACAGGGTCTGTGATGACTGCCGCCATAAGGCTCGCATGATGCGGCGGCGACGGCGTCCGGTACCTGTAGCTGCTTCTGTGGACCCGGGCGCGCAAGTGCTGCCCGTTCTTCCTTACATCCGTGGACCGTCTATTATTACAGTGCAACCTCTATGGTGGACACGCCTTACCCAGGCCGCAGTCCGGCCCTTCTCTCAGGACTGGTCAAAGGACTGCTCCTTCTGCGGTATTCCCCTTCTTTCTACTGAGGCTGATGGCTGGTGCTGTCGGCGAGGCCGCAGACGCTTACCTCACCTACCACCATTCACGCCAGCTGTGCAGTCTCTCCTGCGCCGGTATCAAGGCCGTGTATCTGCCATGAGCCGTCGGCTCAATATCCTGTTTGCCTTTTCCGCCATCGGCACCACTGGCCAATTTGTTCGATTCCAACGTCAGGCGAACGCGGTCCTAGAAGGCCGGCTCTACCACCGTTTGCTGGATGTCGCGGATACGGGTCACAGCATGCACTGGTTTCTTTATGACGAGTCCGAACGAGGTCTACGGGCAAGGGATCATGACATCCCTAATGACATTCTACATGGGATACGCGATTTTCTCAGTCTGGTTAATCCCTATGTGCGGACCTTGCGGCACGCCGTCAGTCAGGTCCCAGACCAAACAGTCGCCCTCGCTGTTGAGCTCTCTATCCCGCCTGCGGGTGGTGAGCTCGCTGCAGTTATCACTACAGAAAATCTCCGCCGCGTGGCCCCGCGACAGGTCGTCTTTTACAGAAAAGGTGGCCAGCAGCCACGGTTCGTTCCGACCCTGTCTTGCCAGTACGAGCCGCTGCAATATCCACTTCTCTTTCCACATGGCACGCGAGGTTGGGGCTTTCTCCACGAGTCCCGGAAAAACATACCTTGCACGCAGATCCAATGGTACCGCCACCTGTTCCTGGGCGAGCCACGCATGCGGATCTATGGCCGTTTGGCGTGTGAATATGCTGTGGACATGTTCTCGCGGACGGAGGAGGAGCGCCTGCACTATCTCAAACGGGGCCGACGCATGCAAGCTCTGCCATGGATGAGGCTCCAAATCCTGACATCCCCGATCTCTTCGAGAACAAAATCCCTGCCGGTTTCATGGGGTCCCGGGCCTGGGCTTCGGACCAGGTGGCTGACTCCCTCGCGATCGCGCGACAGCTGGCCAAGCCGTCACTGTTCCTCACCATGACGACCAACCCTAACTGGCCCGAGATTCAGTCCCAGTTGCTCCCGGGCCAACATTTCACAGACATCCCTGCGGTGGTGTGCCGTGCATTCCACGGACGACTCTGTGGGCTGAAGGCCTTTATGAGGGAGAAATTTGGAGGCCTCCTGTACGAGATATGCGTTACAGAGTTCCAGAAACGGGGTCTACCACACGCGCATCTGGTCGTTAAGCTCCAACATGAATTACCTTTGAGCCAACTAGATGGCTTCATCTGCGCCGAGTTACCAGATCCGGACGAGGACCCTGCCCTACATGCAGCGATCGGCAGATTCCACATGCACTCGCAGAACCACTTGGACCGGTCCACGTCACGCTGCAACCGAGACGGCCGCTGCATTTACGAGTACCCTCAACCTATCAACAACCAGACTTACATGGATGATCTTGGTCGTGTCCATTACCGCCGACGCAAGCAGGAAGATCGATGGGTGACTCCTCATGTACCCGCCCTAGTGCACCTGCTCGACTGCCATATCTATGCGGACGTGTGCTCTACAGCGACGATCTTCCTTTACCTGTTTAAGTACCTCTTCAAAGGACCCGATCGGGCGCGCTTTGGTATTCGGGCCCTCCACGATGCCCGGGCAGACGGTGAGGACGACCAGATAGATGAGTTCAGAGACTATATGAACGCCCGTTACCTCTCTTCGTCCGAGGCTGTCTACCGCATCCTCAACTTCCATACTGTCTCCAAACGTCCTGGCGTCCGCTGCCTCTCTGTCCATCTGGAAGGCAAGAACTTAGGGAGGATGCACGATCGAAACCAACCGGGTTACTCCGAGATGAGCGACCTGTTGTGGTACTTCAAACGCCCATCCACAGAAACCTTCTCAGGCTTGAAGTATACCGAGTTCTTCAGCCTTTACTACCTAGAGACGGTGCCCCTGGATGTTCCACTACACAGAGGTCAGACCCTCATTGCTACTGTCACCACCGAAAAGGGACCATGCCAAAAGGTGTTGCGCCGTCGAGTCCGCCAGCCTATTATCACCCGACTTCAGACCCTCCCACTTCGTCTGAAGGAAACGTTTTACCTACGCGCACTGCTCCAGGTGCGGCCTGCGAACAGCTTTGAAGATGTCCGCACTATCCGGGGTCACTGCTATCCCACATACCAGGAGGCTGCCACTGAGTTAGGACTCTTCCAGGATAACCACGAGGCCGTGTACGCGATGAATGAAGCGATCACAGCCTACAGCCGCCCGTCCCAGCTCCGCTTTCTCTTTGCCCAGCTTCTGTCTAACCTTCCATTTCCAGCTGTGGAACTATGGTCCCGCTTCCACGGCGATCTCAATGCTGACTATAGACTACGTCACCCTACAGCCCACGCCACAGACCTTGCCTTGCAGGACCTGGCACGCTATCTCTCAGCACAGGGATCGTCCTTGGCACAGTGTGGCCTACCGGAGCCCGTTCAACGTTGTGCGGAGGTGGATATGGAACTTGCCTTCTTCCAGACCCAACTGTTATCTATCCGCGGGAGACATAAGGAGGCCTACGGTAGGATGAACTCGGATCAGAAAGGCATCTTCGATCATCTCCTAGACCAATCGGACATTGGCGGCTGCTACTTCATCGACGGCCGTGCGGGTCGCGGGAAGACATTTTTGATGAGCGCCATGTGTGATCGCATTAGGGCAGACGAGCGCATCGTATGCGTGACTGGAACCACCGCCCTCAGTGTGATCCATTACGAGCGGGGTCGGACGGCCCACTCGGCCTTTGGCATTCCTGTTCAGGAGTCTGACATGGGCTTGGTGTCTAAGGTCAGCCCCCAGTCAGGTCGTGCAGAGCTCCTACGCCAGGCCTCGCTCCTGATCTGGGAGGAGCTGCCGATGGCGAAGAAGGCGGTCGTGGAGTGTGCAGACCAGCTCCTTCAAGATATCATGAGGAATGACCTGCCATTTGGAGGAAAACTCTTCATTGGACTAGGGGACTTTCGTCAGGTGGCACCAGTCGTCCGCGGAAGTTCTGGGCCTACAGCAACTCTCAACAGCTCTATCCGCACCTCCACGCTCTGGACCCACTTTAAGGTCCTGCGGCTGACTACCCCGGTCCGACAGGCCGGGGATCCGGTATACGCAAGATGGGTGGACCAGGTAGGAGATGGTGTACACCCCTATGAGACAAGTGTGCCACTGCATCACTTGCAGCATCTTGACGACCTTGACGCTGCGGCAGACTTCCTCTTCCCACAAGATTCCGTCTCTACCTCCGCCGCTGCCGTCCAGCACGCATTCCTTAGCCCGTTTAACGTGCGCGTTGATCTGTTTAATAAGCTCATCTTAGAATGGTTACCGGGGCGTGCAGGTATTCCGATTTTTGCTAATGACTATTCCCTGTAACATGATTCTAATCGCTTGACGCAACTCACCCTTCACGCTCCTCTGGCTAACCTTGCACTGCGCCAGAAACCTATTACAGTCATGATACGATTAAAGAACTAGACGATTCCACCTTCAATCTCCCCACGGGTGCAGAGGCGGATCTTCTCTCGGTATTGAACGAGCCCGGAATCCCCCCGCATGAGCTCTCACTCAAAATTGGCGCCGTTGCTAGCGTGATGCGGAATCTCTCCATCGAGAAAAACTTGGTCAAAAACGTGAGGGTCCAGGTGGTTAATCTGCTACCAAATGTCGTGCAGGTACGGTTGCTGCAACGAGCATGAACGCCTGGCACTGAGTCGCCGACGTTCTACCTGCCACGGATCACATTCGAGTTTCGGCCTCACCGCGCGAATTGGACAGTGCAACGGCGGCAATTTCCGCTGCGTCTAGCTTATGCCACCACCTTCAACAGCTGCCAGGGACTCACCCTGGACCGGGTTGTGCTAGATCTCACCCTGCCCGTCTTCGCCCATGGCCAACTTTACACTAGCTTATCCCGCGTCCGCTCTGCCGTAGACATCCGTATTCTCCGAGACCCAAATGACATAGAGCAAGACACCATTAATGTCGTTTATCACGAATTGCTACTGCCTCTGTGACTGCAGCCACCATGGCGACGTTCGAGATTCACATATATAGAACCTACGTTGAGAGCTTTTATTTAGTCCCATAACATCGATATTTCAAGAATGAAACTCCCTACCATCCTACTCGCCGCGCCCCGTAGCAGCGGCCGAAGGCCGCTGCCAACGCGACTCGTACGTCAATAAAATGCAACACGCTAGCTTCGTCACGTGTGTCCCTCCACTTCTAGATGGGACCCATCTTCCCATCAATAAAACGCTGTAATTTCAATGGGATACTGTACTGAATCCTGGTAAATTGTCTGCAATTAATTGCGCCATAGTGGAGCTTGCTATTTGGCCATCCATTTAGCGTTATAGTTATATGCTCGATGCTCCTGGGAATACTTTGTCTTTCCCGTCCTTATTGGATCTTTCTACTTGAGATCTCCACCATTGTCTGGCACAGAGGCTAGCAAAGATATTCGTCAAAATGTGGAGAAAGAGAACCGCTTCTCTGCGTCAGGTTCCGAAAATTTTGTAAGCTGTCGTACAGCTAGCCGCCAGCTACCAGAAGTACTATATCTGTGGCAGTAGAAAGAAAATCCGATTGCTTATAAAACTGTGGGTGCATGCGCTTATTGGAAACACGGCTTACCAATGGATAAAGCCACCATGGATTGCTTTTCGGCGGATATATAGATCGAAACTAGTGAAGCCATACTTTGGTAGACTGCTCCCAAAAACTGCTCTAGGGTATGCCAGATTGGTTGTCTGCATTCTCCGTGATATGGAAGATGGCGGCCATAACCGAGTAGTAGGCGAATCGAACAGCCGATAATTCAGATTGAGCATCTAGCCCTTTCCATGCCGGATGCAGACGGGAGACCTATACAATCAGTTACTGGAGCAAGTCAATTAAGACGCAGTATTTTCCTCACGTGCTCGATTCTCTCTTGAATCAGTTGCATATCCGCCAACCAATGTTCCCGGATTCCATGCCAAGTTGCTAAATCACCTCCCATCAACATTGGTGACCGCCCCTTAAGATACGGCACGACAGCAGCCTGGACCCCAGCAAGTGCCATGTGAATCTGGAAGAGGTCCGCTATGGGACGCCGATAGCTGAATAGGCCTAACGTGAAGTGACCAATATGAATGTCAAGTAAAGTTTTGAATCTCCCCATCTTGAAAGCAAAGTTTGTATCTAGCATATAGCACCAGGCGACACAGTAATACTGCTCTTCGCTCAGAGAGCCTCCTGTCTTCATGACAGTGTCAAGGCCCAGGCATTCACACACCCTGCAGGCAGCTTTGGTAAGCTCCCAGCATATAGCGAGGTCTCCAGATTCTTGATGGAGAAAAATCTATTTCATTAGATGCAATAATTTCTTCTGACTATTTGAATACTCACACCGGAGAGGAGTGCCTGCAAGAGTCCGAGCGAAGGTATCATCAAGAGAGCTGTGTTCTGAAGAGCTGCTTTGGCTGCCGTCTGGAATTGAACCAGGCTATTTGCCAGTTCGTGGATCAGTTCACTGTCAATTCCAGCGTGGATGATGGTGGTCAGAAATTTAGAGGCCATGGCATTGACACAAACAGTGCTAATGAGCAAGTCGTGAGGGGACCTAGACCTATGAAGGAGGGTAAGTGCCATTTGCTCGAGTGTTGCACCACAGATATGCCTGAAGTAATCCCCAACAAATGAGCCAAAGCTATCCTCCTTGATATCTATTAATACCAAAATCAGCCTGTCACATTAGTCGAGCTCTACCAAGTATAAAGACGTACCCTTTATCATCCATGCTAATAATTCAATAGAAGGGGTTTCTGTTTGCTTCTCATTGACAGCGACTTCACTGGCAACGTGCGCGGAGCCCTCAAAGCTTTCTGAGAGTTGAAAAGCCCGCCTCAACCCCGATTCCAATTTCTGGCGGCTATTGACGGGGAGCCATTCCAGTTTGTCTCGGTGATATCGAATGGTGACATGAGAATCATGATGGGAGAGAGACTCATCAGAGCCGGGAGATGGCCCACGATACTGTTGATAGTCCGGCCTGGGATATCTGTTGGATGTGGCTACAGAATTATCGTGTGGTCCTAATGATAGATTCTGCGCGTCTTGGGATCTTGAGGTCGGTCGAGATGACTTCGGACGTGATTCACCGTTGCTTTCTATCACCGCAAGCCGAGTGGTTCTTTTGATTCTTTTTATGACTCGCTGACGTGAACATATGGCATTCCTGTCCTGGCAGTTACCACATGGGTTACCTCTGTCACAACGGACCTATGTTTAGTCAGTGAGAGTTTCCATACGAACTTATTGTAAAATAATTCAATCCATACCTTTCGAGTGAAGCACGAGTCGCACTGGGGTTTGTTTGTAGCCATTAGTATTGTTCGCGTGGCAATAATGGGAGACAAGTACCACTGGAAAAGGTGTAGAATGATTCTTTAGTAATTGTTCTGATGACATAGTGGTAGCTAACGAGAGAGATAGGCGCAAAGGAAAATAAAGAAAAATGTATTTTCCATTCTGTATTTTCAAATTGAGGAAATCACTATATATATGGATGCACCAACCTCTAGGTATCGCTATACTGCTGAACTTTTCTCGGGAAGAGGCCTGCGTATAAATAACTGTAAAAAATATAAAATTACGTTGTTGCATGGAATCTAAACATTATTGGCTTCCTAGGTATTCCAGATTACGCTTCAGAAAGGCGCACTCTCTGAAAATGACCCGGAAAATGGCGTCATGTAACAGCTAATTAAAATTGCATTCTGCGTTGGCTAATCATGTGCTCCGTAGTGGTTTCTCGAAAAGTGTGTTAGATTGTCAGAGGAAAGTCCAGAACAACGCCAATGGCTTGCTGTGCCGAAATTAGACGTTAAGCGGAGCGGAGAATTCTTCCATTATTTTAAGCTTTGGATTCATTTGATGAAAAGTCAATTCTATTTATTTTCATGAGCTGCCGGGTGTCCTGGTAAGAACCAGTGAACCTAATCCCGGTTAACGTATTTCCCTAGCGAGCTGGCCACCCCAAAACACCATAGTAAATGCGATAAATTACAACATAGTATCACAACAACGGCAGGTTATAGGGACTTTTCCTTAAAAGCTAATGCTTTTTAGGTGGTATTTAGTCTACAACGGGAGTTTAAAGAATTTCGACAATTTAGTAATTGAGATATAATCAGATATTTATATTTCTAGCTCCTAGCAACGTAATTCTCGATACCGTAACATGTAGGTTTCAGATTTCGTCAAAATTAACATATAGTGTTGAAATTCCGATCAGGACTGTGCTTGATATTATTACACCCATTGCTATACAACAGAAGAGAAGAAACTGGAACGCAACTGATGATCAGAAACTCATCCAGAAGATCGAAGGAGGTCTACAGGCAGGGGGCCTATACCGGGCAAATCCGCAAAGGATAGAAGCCAAATGCCAGGAGCTGATGGGAGCGATCCAAACAGCAATCGAGGAATCAACCCCATGGGCAAAACCATCCGCGTGGTCGAACCCCGACTTTGACGACGAGTGTAAAGTTGCGGTCAAAGAGGTTCGTCGCCTCCGTCGCAAACATACGAGAACTCAAGACCCCTACGACTGGATGTGCTACTCTGAAGCACGCAACAGAAAAACACGACTCGTCAAGAGAACCTTGTCAAGGGCGCACCGGCGCCGAGTCCAGCAGGTCATTGAAGATGGCCCACAGGGTATGTGGCGATTGGCTAAATGGGCAAGAAACCGAGACGGAGCATATGAGAAGGGTATCACCCCTTCGCTGAAAATACAAGATCCCCAAATACCTGGGACTCTCGCGGAAACAGTTGAGCAAAAGGCAGAGGCATTCCGCACTGCCTTCTTCCCAAAACCACCACCAGCCGATCTATCCGACACAGATTCATTCCTGTACCCACAGCAAATTGAGTTTCCAGCAGTCACCGCTCAAGAGATACAGGAGGCGGTGCGAGGAGCGAAAGCAGGGAAAGCACCCGGAGAAGACGGTATACCAAACTCTCTCTGGCACAAGCTTATCGAGATACTGGTGATCCTAGAAACAGTGGTCCAGTTATTCAACGCATGCATAAACACGGGGTACAACCCGTCACATTTCCAGCGCTCAATCACGGTGGTGCTCCGGAAGCAAGGCAAAAGTGACTACCAGCTCGCAAAATCCTACAGACCCGTGGCGTTGCTGAACACGCTCGGAAAGTTTCTGGAGGCAGTTGTCGCGCGACGGATCAGCTACGCAGCAGAAACCAACGGTTTGCTCCCACGTAGCCATCTAGGCGGACGAAAGGGCATATCCACCGATCATGCTATCCACATTATCATCGACCGAATCAAAACTGCATGGGGAAAGGGCAAGCCAGTGGTATCTCTGCTAATGCTGGACGTGTCCGGAGCGTACGACAATGTCTCCCATGAACGTCTACTACACAACGCCAAGAAACGACGTCTGGGACACTTCGTTCCCTGGGTGAGGGCCTTCTTGACCAATCGAAGCACAAGGATCCGCATGCCCGAGGGCACATCCGATCGAATCCTGACACCTACAGGCATCCCTCAGGGATCACCGATCTCACCCATTCTATATCTCATCTACAACGCAGACCTCGTTGAGAACTGCAGCAACGGTGTGACTAGCAACGGGTGGGTCGACGATGTTTGCTTCATGACAAAGGGAGACAGTGAACGCGAAAC